TGGTTGTCAGCCTCTGAGTTTTTAAGCTGCGTGTAGTTTATGGGCAGCTCAAGTGCAGTTTCCATACTGTGCAAGGATCTGATGCTCGTACAACTGCTTTGTAAGTCAAATACCCAATTGTGAAAGGAATTGAGCAAAACGAGCCAATATTACGACACGTAACTTGCAACCCTGATTACAGGTTACAGTACAGGCTACTGCAAGCCTGCAACCCAGTCCTCGCATTGAAGGACCCTGAGAAGACACCATTTTATACTTGGAACTATGCCCATTTCTCCCCTGCCCTAAGCTCCTCAAATCCATCAAGTGTCTTTTGACAGTCTGAAGATTTCTCCATGAGATTTGTAATGTTTACTTTGAATTTAGCCTGCTTTTCTATATATCATAGCTCATTCCTTTTCACCAAGCTAGCCTTATATAAAACACAATACCTTATATTTTGCTAAGCTGTTTCTTCCAGAAAACTGTATTGTCTTGGCTGGTACAGGTTGATCTTTATTGTTAAAGTGTGTATACAAATTCCCATTTGAATTTGTCTGTCTCTCCTTGATTTTTCTTCTGCCTTTCTTCTTTAGATAAGTGTCCAGCATTTTCTACTCTTTGAGGTATTTATACACTTCAATCATGCTATTTTTTTCAATCTTCTTTTTTGATAAACTTTTGATAAAAGCAGATTAAGCTCTGAAAGTCTCTTACTTGAAGCAAATTTCCCTAACTTTCAGGTCATGGCTTAGTGGCTTTGTTCAGTACCTTTCCTAATGCTTTAATGTCCTTTTTAAACTTGGATATGGAATTTGATGCAACATCCCAGAACCGGTCTCATTAATATCATATAAAATAATAAGTGACCTTCATGCTTCTACTCACTCTTTCAGTCTTTCCACACCACTGGATTACACAGTAGTGCAGTGAGAACTTTACCATCACAGTGCTGAGCTGCTCGACATGAATTCTGAATCCTTTTTTAAACACAACTCTTTCCTCCAACTCTGCCCAGACTCCCAGCTCATATATCTCTTAATATACTTTCTCAGATTGTTTTAAATTGTTCTACTTAAATGGCCTGAACTTAAGAAATAGGTTATTTTCTTGACATCATCTGTATTTATACCTCTGACAATTCTTTTTGTATTTCTTAGTTTTAAACTATCAGTGATTTTGAATTTTCTTTCCAGATCATAGAGGGCAGCACTGAACAACATTCTTACCTTTTTGTTTGGAATTTAGGATGTGGGTGCTGATCTCTGGAAGCTGCATCTTGTCTAGGCTGGGCTGCTTCTTACTCTTTAACATGTATATCCCACTGTTAAAGGTTTCAGTTTGCCGTAACATAATATTTGAGTTTCTGACTCAGATATGACTTTTGATAGGTTATGCAGTGTCACAGACTGGTGATTTGGCATGTCTTCCTATCTCAGCCATGAAATTCCAACTTGACAGTCTTTCAGGTATTGATGCAAAGCTTATCTACCCTCAGATTTTAGGTGAACAATGAATAGACCAAAGACAGGAGTAATTATAGTCTTTGTTATTCTATTTATCTATTCATGATAGAATAGGTTTTGTGTAATACCTTATTTGAAACAGAAATTTTTACCCTAATTTTGATGGCGTTAATTCATCTGGTCACAAATAATTTTTGAATTCATCTTTTGACATTTTCAATTTTTTTCCGGATTCTTATCTACTACTGCAGCTAACAAATTTCTTTTTAATAGATTGGGAAGGCTTAATTTACATTGTAAAGATGTTCAGGATACATTCAGGAAAGAGAAATCAAGCACTGTTCAAAGTCTGAAATAGAAAAATTTCAATTGTTTAAATCCTTATAACTGTTAGTAACATTTACCAATAGCTTACAGACACAACACAGAATCACTACCAGGGAGAGCATTCTTGTTGGTAACTTTCCTCATAAATTATGAACAGACCAGAACAGTGTGAGGTTATAATTTCTCTCCAATAAAAGACTTCAGCAATGGGAAGCCTCTACATGTGAAAAAAATGTACAGCTTTCTTTTTCCGTAGTGTAAAGTAGCATAATGTCTTTATGCTAATCACAAGTCCATTGTACCTTACTTTTGAATACACTTACTGATATTAAAATTCTTGCTGATACTAACCTCTTATTATTATGCCTATTAGAAAATACATGTGACAGGTCAGAAATAAATTCCCTCTGGAGGCACACAAAGCCATTGCTAGACTTATGCAATAGTTGTATGTTGAGGACGAAGCTCTGTGCATTAACAGTAAAAGGAGCTAAATTCTTAGTTCATGAAAGGAGTGTAATCTTCTTTAACCCTTTAGCCAGAGGCCTAGTATTCAGAGTCAGTGTGCAATAAAACTGAAGAACCCTTACCATGCAGATTAAATTTTTATGTTAAGCTCTAAACAGAAAACCCCTTCCTAAAATCCACTACCTTACTCAGGTTTTACTGTATTACCAAGTCTTGCTCCTCCTTAACTAGACAAGTATTACACAAGTCATCTCAAGCAGATGAAAGTTTTATTTATCCAATAGTATTGCAATACGTGGTTTTTATTAAAGTTACATTGAAAGGGCAGAATTCTACAGCTTTTACTCATAACACATCAAGATGAGTAAAAGGGAAAACATTCCTTGAAGAAATATTTAGTTATAAATTACAGATGATTTCTGAGATAAAACTTACTTATACAAAATGCATTCATTGTACTGAATGTATTGTTTTCAGAAGCAGGCAATAAAATTATTCAAGATATTTTGAGACTTATACCTGACTAATCAAGGCAAATCTTAATGATGATGCTATCATGCAAAAAGGTAAACATCTCTTTGAGAAAATCCGTAATCACAGCAATTATTATTTTTCCTATTCAAAATTAGTTATCTTAATTTCAAAGTACTCTATTTTGTGTCAAAGCAACAACTACAGGTACAACAAGGAAAGATTTAGAAAAAGTTCAGTGAAGCATGAAAAGGACAAACAAAAAATTCCTTATTCAGAGAAAGTGATTGATGTTGAAGTTAACAATGGGCCTTTTTATATTTGTGTTCTGCATAATTTATTTATATTAAGAATAAAAATATAGGATGATATATCCTGTAGTAGAGAAATTCCATATACCTTTTGAAATAGAAATATAACTTCCTTATAGAAGAGTATTAGAAAGAAACCTAAGTGTTACATATACAAATAGTAGCTTCTGCCTTGCAAGTAGATAATTTCCAGTAAAGTGTAATTGGACTTTCATATTTTATTTGCTTTATAACTGTCTATGATGATTTACAGAAACATAAATGACTACAAGTTGCAATATCATGATGAATCAGATTCACTCAGAGTGATTGATAATGAAAATTATGGCAATAGTATAATTTCAAATTAAAGTATAAAAAATATCTTGACTCATTACTTCCTCAGAAAATGAAATACATTCTCCAGCTATGGGAAGAAAAAAACACTAGGTTAGCTTCTGAAGGAGAGCAAAGAAATATTTTTACTGAAACAGATACCAAGGTATTCAGAACAATTTAGAAATTTATTAATAATTTAGAAATATACAAATAAACTTACACATAGAATAGAATAAACAATAGATAAGCAAATAAACAGAAGGATCAATTTTATCTTTCTGATTTCATTTAATATTACAATTAAAAGACTTAATTTCCAGTTTTAATTATTATATGAGTAAACCACAGCATTCTAGAGGTTTCTATGTTCATATTTGGTGTGTGTTCAAATTTGTAAACAGTTAAGACCTAATATGAAATAATTTTTATTTAAGATATTAAATCCAAATTCCACACGATTAAAATTTTAGCAGACCTTCTAAATGGAATTTGCCATAAAAGTGTAACTTTTTACATTGTGAGTAACAGAGTCTTGAGAAGAAAAAAAATTACATTCACAGTCTGCCCTCCACATGGCATCTACATACATACATACCTGTATTGAATTTTTCCATTTTGAAACTCCACCCATTGTTAACAATCGAAGTTTAGTGTAGGTTTTTTATGAGTTAGAAAATTCATAAGTGTTTTAAGTATTCCCTGTGTTTACTTCTAAACAAAGGCATATCTAAGCACTTCTAAAAGAGTGAATTGGCATAGAGACAATGTAGTGAAAGTAAAAGAGATTCAAATCCTTCTGAAACAAACTTTTTTACTAGAATTCAGCACAAACAGTCAAATTTCCTCATCTTTTTTGAGATTCCAAAAGCCACAAATGGTTTTAGTTGCATTGTGTATCTCAGTGTTACTCAAAATTTTATTTATGTATATATTTACTGACTGTATTGTTTTTCCAATGTGTTGGACAGCAGTCGAGTAAGAGTTTCATGGTAATAAAGACTTTTTCTTTGGGTCCACATGGCTGATCACAATGCCAATACTCTTCTGCTGAGCACACTTTACAATGTCAGTGGGAGTTTTGCATGCATATGAAGACATGGCTATAGGAGATGACATTTGTCATGTGGCCCTAAAATAGTTCCTTCAGTAAGATGTTGGGGTTTTTTTCCAACTGTAGCAGTCACTTTTGTTTTAACAGAAAACAAAACTCTAAGACAATGTAAAGAATAAGACTGTTTGATATGTTTTATTATGTTTAAATATCAAAATAAAACAAAAACTGATGATATTAGTACTATTCTGTTAGAAATACTTACTTTTTTTTTTCCTGATCTAGGCTTCTATTACACCACACCTGCTTAAACAGACCAGTCCTAGAATAGACTCCGAAATATGACATTCCACATACCCAGCTATTTTTGTAGATGACGTTATTTAGCTCTGTGATAATGGATTGATAGTTGTTGACTGAAAGTGTTACTCATCTAGAGAAGTTCTGAGGAAGAATTAACAGCAAGCTATAACTATTCAGCTTAGCAAAATAAAATTTTGCTGTTTTCCTGTTCATATAAAATGAACTATGATTGACTACACAAAATTAAAGTTTCCCTAACAAAATTTCTAACAAACGTTTTGTTTGTTTGTTTTTTCTTACTGTTAGCTTGGTAGCCACAAAGGAAACGGACAGTGCAAGATCTCGTAGCATGCCAATGTCACCATCGGATTTCCTGGATAAGCTAATGGGTAGGATGTCAGGCTACGATGCAAGGATCAGACCAAATTTCAAAGGTAATTTCAAAACTAAGCTTTCAGGTTTTTTTTTATTGCTCACACAAATGCAATTTCTGGAACAAATATGAAAACAAAAAAGTACATTCACTGAAAAAAATTAAAAGGTGCCTTCTTTTGCCTTTCTTTTGTATATATGACAGTTCATTTTAGTAATAATACACTCTATCCCTGTCACTTTCACAGATGCCCAATTACAGGTCCTTTGTAAATTTAGCTTATCATTAGATTTGAATTCTCTAATATGGTTTGTTGATTTCTTTTCTTTCCTTTCCTGAAGTGCTTGCTAACGGATTCAGATTGCCGCCTTGGACTACCATAGCCTGAAACAGTCCAGAAAGAAAGTTCTGTGAAATATAAGCCAAATCTTCATATCTGCCTGGTTCTAACTAAAAGGAAGAGTGTATTAAGGACTTGACCATCAGAGTCAAACTCAAGAGAGCTTATCTTAGTTATCAATTCTATCACCAAATTAGATTCTTTACTCCTGTGCCCCACTTGTGCTTTGAAATGCCAAAGACACCATCTTTCCTCTTGTTCTTTTCCTGGTTCTCAGTTCTCCACTGAAACTGGAAGTTCTCAATACCTGCAGTTGTCTCTTGGCATTTGAACAAGACAAAGGAGATTCAAAGAAGACTGAAAGTCTAAACTTTGCAAATGAAATCATTACATCTTCCAAGGATCTTAGCATAAATCATATTATCCAGACTCAGGCAGGCTAAAGTAGAATATTTAATGAGGGAGTACACAAACTATATTTTTATATGAATATACAAAGTTTTTTATGGACAAACACCACCCATTCTAGCTTTCACAGTCTGGAAAGTTGTTTTTTGAAAACAAGGAGTTCCATTAATATAGTGGAACCATATTTAACTCTATTACTGAATCTTTAAACAAACTATCAGTCTCTAAATTATCCAGAATATAAATAATGTTTTGAAAGAATAAAGTTATTGTAATTAAAAACTATGTTATTCTTACTTTGCCTTAGCTGCTTCCTCCTATGCCTATCTTCCTGAGTCCAAGAGATTCTCTTAGCTCTAACGTTTCACTACAAAGCAGGTCATGTTTACTACAAAAATTTTCCTTCACGCTGACAGTCCTTTCTCCTGTAATTCATCTGTCACTGCCTTTCCATCTTCATTCTTATTCAGCAACAAATGTTATAATTTTTGACATCTCTAAGTCCCAGAAACTTAAGTTATTTTGACTCTAAAGCCACTGCTATATGGTGGTTTTGCCACAATTCGCCCAGTCTGATTCACAAGGACCATGCAAGCGATCTGCCAAATTACTTCCTCATCAATAAACCATAAACATTTGGTCCTGTATATATAAACTTATTACCCAGGATTTCCTGCAGCTGGAAATACCTTACTTTTTTTAAGTTAATGATCTGATATTTCTCAGAAAATTATAAACATGCACTGAAATTTCAAACACATCTCTAGTTGATTTGGGAATTGGATTGTGTAGTTTGACCTGGACAGCATGCAGTGACAATCTTCTGATAAGGCTGCAGTGAAGAATAGGCAGATGGTTTAGAGATTAGCAAATTCAATGAAGTAGTTCTTGAAAGTATAATTCAAAGGACTTAGAGACTTGTTTTGTAACTATTGCTATTTAAAGAGACAAAACCTAATTTGACATTGTACTTTTTCAAAAAGTGCACATTCTAAATCTTCTAGACAGCTATGTGGTTTGAATAAATCTGCCCAGAATGATTCACTAAGAATAAGTATCTCCTTAAGTGACTTTGCCGCTTTCTGCTTAGTTGTACTACTGCTAGAACAAGTGCTGGGTTTGAGTTTATAATCTAGTAACAGTTTTAAAGAAAGATGATGAGTACTAATAAGAGAATTCAAACAATCATTTTAAATAATCTTTACTTCCAGTAAAATTCCTATGTACACAAGATTTTTAGCTACCAATTTTAGTAATAATGAATAGTCAAGAACACATAATTATATATTTTGTCTGAATGCTCTGCTTTTGCATAAGGAATTCTGCATATAAGTGCTTGTTCCACAAAAATAATAGAGATGACTTAGTATTTATTCAGCTATGGAATAAAACAGAATATTAAGAACTCTTGTAAAATCTTTGTTCCAGTTCTAACCTTTTTTTCCCCTTACATCAAACATATAGAAAGGTGCTTCTCTTAGTTTCTACACTGCGGACTATAACCGTTCCTGCAAATATGGGAAATACTTCATTCTCTTTCAAAATTTGAACACATTATGTAACCCGTGTGTAGAAAATGTCATGGCGTCAAGATGTTTGGAGTTAAATTGACACAGGAGTATAGAATATTTTTAGATATATACAGGCCAAATTGTACTATTGAAATATTGGGGTTTTACAGAGGAAAATGTAAAGTGTTACTTGCCCTCGTATTGACAAACATTATTCAGCAGTAATTAGCCAGGAGTTAATTGAAAAAAAAAGTAATTTAGTTACATATGTTCTTCTGATCACTTCTGGAAGCTGTTTATACTTTTGGCCTTTTTGTTATTTTCTGTCAATAAAACCTTTGTGTTTTGGAATATTGGAAAGTATCATTTTTTGCTTGCTTTTAATTGGGTGACTATTTTACTAATTTTATTGCAAGGTGACATACTGAGAAATGGAGAAGTATTACTTCCTTTTCATCTTTACAGATTTTTATACTTACATATTACTCCCTACCGTATACCTTTTCCAGTGTGAAGGGTCCTGTTCTTCTTAAGCTGGCTTTGTGTGGCAGCTTGTCATAGAATTTTTGATCCTTTTGACTTTTTGATGTCTTTCTTCCTAATATATCCTTATGAGGCAGACAAAGAAGAAAATTTGAAGTAATCAAGATGGAAGTTCATGATCTATTTGTATGGTAGACCATTTTTTATGTAATTCTTTGCATTATCCTATCTTTATTGAATATAAAGAAGGCTTAGAGAGAACCATCCATAACTAATGTAGCCTGTCTTTACTGTATGGAAGCCATTAATTTGGAGCCCATCAGCAGGAATGAATAGTAAGGATCAACTGGTATTTTACTGACAATGAATTTCATCAAACATTTTATAACTTAATAGTTCAGTATTTTGTGATTTTTCTGCACCTCCTTGCAGTCAGCTTTATACACAACCATGCTAAACAATCGTATATCACAAGCAATATTGTATTGCTATATCTTCTTACTCATCAGTATTGAACTACAGAGGTTCAGTGCAGATGCTCATCAGCAATCACCTTGAACCTTGAAAAATGGCTGTTTATTCCTAATATTAAAAAAATATAAAGAAAAAAGCCTATGAGAGAACTGCCTCTCATTTCATCAAAACTACTATTTTTAAAAACCTCTGACAAAATATTACATTGAAAAGTTTCAAAGCTCCAAAATAAACTCTTTAAAGTATTTATTATAATTAAAATTAATATTTGTTTAAATTAATGAGATTGATTTTGTCCACATCCTCAACAGCTCCTTCAGAGGGCTTCGGCAGATCTGAGATATGCTATTTCAGCAAAAAATAATCATAGAATAATCACAGAATCACAGAACATGCTGAGTTGGAAGGGACTCATCAGGATCATGGAGTCCAACTCCTGGCCCTGCACAGGATGTCCCAAGAATCACACCATCTGCCTGAGAGCATCATCCAAGCACTTCTTGGACTCAGACAGGCTTGATGGTGTGATAACAATAATATATAATAAAGATATATAATAATATTAATTTATATCTCTTGTTTATAGATAATATTAATCTATATATCTTAATCATAAAAGTTCTCCTTATTTCTATCTGTTTGGCAGGTACAGAGGTAAGGTTTACAGGCATAAAGTTCTTTGTCAATGTCATCCACCATCATACCTGAAGTTTTGGGTTTTTTTAATTCAAGATATACTTGCTGGACATGGTACACATTTCCACTGATTACAAAATTGATACAGGTGATAGCTGACTCACAGTGATTCGTATTTCCAAAATTTTGCAAAGATTTTTATCATGTCTGGATTTATATCACCTCATCCTGACAGTTCGTTCCTGTTCACTTAGTCTGGAATGTCTTCTACAGTCCTCATACAAATTTTCCATCAGAATGCCTCTAGTATTTGACACAGTTGGCAATCGGAGACAAATGCTGCTACAAAGACTTCATTTACTTTGCTGCTCTGACCTTCTGCACTTTCATGGATACTTTTATACCTTAATCATCATCTCTCACCTTCCAGATCTTGGCAGGATTCTATTTTTAATGCCTTGTAGATAGATATCATTGTTAGCTTTTCCGTCTCTAGTGAGTTTCACTCGATTTCTTTTCTCCCTCTCTTTAATCTATTTCAACTTGTCTGAGTTCCTGTGTTTGAATATGACTTTCAGCTTTTACAGCTTCCATTTGGGCTTCTTTTTGACCATATTTTGGGAAGTTCATTTTCACTCACAGCATACTATCTTTAAATTATCTCTAAACCATTTGCAAGCTACTTTTAGCTTCTATTTTTGTACTCCTTTTAACTAGATATTAACTATTTTATTGCAATGCTGCTTTTGAAATTAAGCTTCAGTGCTGTAATTATTTAGGACTTTTTGTTAATAAAAGCAACTATGTTGATACAGCCAACTTATATTTAAAGCATAGTACTATTTTAAACAAAATAGTATCACATCAAATTTGAAATGATGGCAAGTAGTACAACATGGAAGTGTTTGAAAGGAAAGCTGCCTTGCAAACAAATTAACTAACATTAGCAGGAAGTACAATTTTCTCCCTGACAGTTTTTCATGACACTGTTCATTTTCTCTGCTTTTTCTTTTTTCCTTGATCCTTTCCAGGGGTTGTGCATGTAAAGCTTCTACTGAGTTCTAAGAGGTACTGTATATGCTGAACGACTCTAAATAATTAACCAACTTTGGAAGTGACTGCAAGTGCTACCTTCTTACCTGAGAATTCTGTTCCATAGGTGTAGTCTTGTGTTTTACAAAGACTGAAGTACATGTAGAAATGTTTTGTTGCTATTGCTATACAGCACTTCAAAACATTTATTACCTTGAGGAAAGAAAGGTGGATGTTTCAAGGTGTGTCATGTTGGCAGAATTTTCAATGGGCATTCTGATATTTCAAGTATTTAATATCAAGTTCATTGGTCATGTTAGATTTTGCTAGTTGCAAACCACCAGTAGAGGTAGAATAGTTTCTTACTTCAGTGACCCTAAAAAAGAAATATTGCATCAAAGTTTGTAAGACCAGTCCTCAAATTCCAGATACAGATCTTTCATTGTTAGTGACTGCTTACAACTACAAAAAGAATCCAGGTTTTCCAATGCTGAACTGGATTATTGATTTAAGAATATTGAGTTGCAGGAAGGTAACAAAGACATCTTGTGATGGAAAAACCTTGTTTCTGTTGTACACAGACTAAAATTTATAAGAAATAATAAACAAATTAGCATGCTCTCCCACAGTGATGTTTTTAAAAAGACTTTAAAAAATAATTTCAACTCTTTTCCACAAAGAGGCAATTCATTGTTCAGTTATCATGACTGCTCTGCCACTACTGATACTTCAAAATGCAAGATAAGACAGAACAACAGTTGACTGAAGACCCATGGTAGCAGAGAATTGAGTTTAAATGAACTTTTAACCATTGTGTGATTTTAAGAGAAAGGGAAATAGAATCTAAATAATTTTCCTGTAAGCAGTAGAGATAAGAGCAGCATTAATGCATTTCTTTTCCCAATGATGACAAGTAACATTAAAGATACCAGCTGCCTTGAGTGAAGAAAGTCACTTTTCCCCTGAATTGTTGTGAGAAGTGATGTACATTCTCACTGAAACACACATAAAAATATTTTTACTATATATTTCAAATTGGATGTTGCTTTTTTTTTTTTTTGCATGGAACCATCTGTGCAAGTTTATACTGAATTTTCTCTCCGTCTTTTTTTTTAATTTCTAAAACTGGCCAGTCAAGTAGTGTACCTTTGAGAAAAATTGAAAGAAAAATTATTAGAAACCATTCAATTCAATTGTGTATTAAATAAGTTAGGAATGTTGCATTATTTCCTCCTAAGTCAGCAACCATTGTTTCATAATGGTTTATATTTTACAGTCACTCAATAAGCAAAAATTCTGGAACAAAGACTGATGTTTTTTCTCTTTTGCAGGTCCTCCAGTTAATGTCACATGCAACATATTTATAAACAGCTTTGGGTCCATTGCAGAGACAACCATGGTAAGATATTTTAACTTAATCAATGTTTAAAATTTGACTTAAAGATGTTCGAGAAGCTCTAAAGCTAGCTAGGGCTTCTCTTCACCCGCAACGAAACAAAGAAGGAAATCCACTTCTGAGAACAGAAAGTGAGAAAATCTAATTTGGCAATTGATTTTTTTTTAACAAAAAATCCATCTTTATACCATCACACAGAAGTAAAAGTAAAGCCAAGAGCTGGGGTTTTTCTTTAAACTTCTCTATAAGTTTTATTTTACAGTTGTAATGAAATAATTATTAGATTTCTATAATTTCTATAGTGTATCACTTTTTTAATCTCAAAAATGCCAATGTACTGTTGCTTTGTTCATAATATTTTATACTTTCATTTAATACAGTGAATATGGAGATGTATATTTTATTTAAAAATCTTTCTTCCATAGAGCTATTGCACAGAGATAACAGAATAAGTAAAACTTTGAACTGGTATATAAAATTTGGGTAAATATAAATGGATTGCATGCCTTTGTACATACACTTATAATTTGTCTAGTAAAGAAAGGCATATGATAGAGTAAAAAAAGATTGGACAGTTTAAGAAAATAAGGAGAAAAAAATGTCAAAGTGTAAAGGTAGTAAAACTAGATATTGAACTGTGAACTGACAAAAAACCCTAGGATAATCTCATTTAACATGAGAAACACATATGCTAATAATTTGGAGCACAGAATTAATCATTAAAATTTGGTTAGAGAGGACATACATTCTTTTTCTATACAATGGCTTCACATTTTTTTGAAGAAAGGCGAAAATACCCCTTTGAAACCAGTTACATAGTAATTTGGGGACAGAGAGGGTTAAAATACAGGGAAATGACAGAACTGTGTAGGTTAAGATCTAAATATAGTAAATACTCTGAAATCCCTGTAGTTTCAGAGTTGTACTTGGAATGACCGAACAGAGACTAAAAGTAATTGATATAGTAAAAAAAACCTCCAAAAAACCCAAAAAAACCCCTCCAAACAAACAAACAAAAAAACCCCACCCTAATGTAACCAAGGACCTCTAGTTAAGAAAACAATAGGACAAATCCATAAAGAGAAATATTTATGTCCCCTATCTCCAAGGTGATATTAACAACTGCCTGATCTTTACCTACCTTGGAACATAGTAGTAGAGGTTAGTGAGAGAGGTAGATGATTTTTTTCCAGTTAGAAAAATTACTTTAATTTGTATTTGGGGGCCTTTCCAGACTGCAAATCCTAAACAGATTGACGTGACATCTAAAGAGATTTATTCAGGTTCAATCAGAGGATTAAGCAATACCCACATTATTAGAATAGTGTTCAACAGCTACTTTATGGTGCCTGGATGAGTGAATTTCATCCAAAACAGGAGACAGACCATGGGGTCAATAAAGTGCCAAGATCCAGCCACTACATCATTATTTAAAGGATATCTAGAAAATTGGAGTTGTTGCCACTTAGAAAAATTGTCCTGAATTTGGGAAGAGAATGACTGAGTTCACATCTGAAGTGCATTTTCTCTCCAAAACTAGAGAATTATAAACATTTCCTTTCAGTGCAACTTAGTAAGTTAGTTCAATACATCTATTTTACAATGAAGCTATCTTCTCTACTGTGTTGCCTTGAAAGCAAATTAAAACAGTCAAGATAGATAATGACCTGACCTGTAACAAATAGTTCCAGTTAGTACTTTATAGGAAATACCAAACCTGATCAGAACCACAAGGCTTTTCATTCTCTTGATTATATGTATTGAAAAACTGGGCACTTAAGCACAACCTTGACCTTCATGACGCTTGTATTCTGTTTATAATGTATTTACTGATGCACTTCAAAACAGACTTCTGCTTATTGTCAGCAGCTTTTGACCTCCCAGAGACTCAGATCTTGCTTTGCAGAAGAACAAATGCTTTTGTCTAGATAGCACTTTTAATTGTATGTTTTATTAGCTTTACTTCTCCCCAACACTGAAGGTGAACTTTTAAAAAACATTAAAACCTACCTTAAAATATATCTTAAAATGACAATGAAAATCATTTTGCATTATTTTACAAATTGAATTTCTGCATGGTTTAACAGAAGTTCAGTGTTTCACCAATTGGCACTATTTTATCAGTTTTATTTACTGTAGCCCTTAAAATTCAGGTACCTATGTCTCAATATCTGTTATAAATCTTTATGCATACAACTCATTAGAACAATTTTTTAGACTCAAAAAGGGCTTTTATATTCTTGATAAATATTTCTTTTCCAAACTGTAAACAGAACAGGTTAAGTAAGCAGCAGGTGCAAAATAAAACCCGGCCACTAAGTGATACCTTGCATTTAAAACAGCTAATAATGGGATATGCGTATAATCTCCTAGCTTTAAAGAAATATGAATACATAGAGGCATGACCTTTGCTGTCACTGTAATTGCCCTTGGCACTGTCAGTCTCTCTCCTTGTCTCTCTGGTGCCCTTGCTGATGACCAAAATCTTTGAGCTCCCTCTGCTGCCCCGGATGTGTATAACAGAGTAAACAGTCAGAAAAACAAGGGGTTAAAAAAAACCGCAGCAGTTGCAAAGTGGCTCGGTGCCAACTTCACATTACCAGACTTAATAGCTCTCACTGAGGTCAAGGAGTCTGTCAGTGCGCAGTAGGAACTGCACTGTGTGTCCCTCAGGCAAGCAGATTCTCTTAAAGTCATCCACACCTGGTCTAACAGCTCAGGAGAGACAGAGAATCCTAAAAAGTATCTTAATTTGGCTTACAGCTTGTTAACTTGGTAAACTGGTTCTTTCTTTTCTTGTTTTTTGGGGTTTGGGTGGGTTTTTTTTTACATTTCTTTCACTTTCTTTAGATATGGGTTACACTTATTTCATGTTCTCTTTCTTTGTCTCAAAAGAGAGATCAGATGGTTCATAGCAGGGAATAGACATGCCACCTCTTGCTAGGAAGCTGTGATTCTACTTGAACCTAAATAACTTAAAGTGATCATATGAGGAATTTAGTTTGTGTCATGTATGCTCTGAGGAGGCAGAAAAAAAAGTGAACCATATAATTGAAAATCCTCTTAAACAAACTTGTGGTTGGCACCATTTATGATCTAACCTCGCCAATTTTTCTGTGTTATTGAACTGAATGGTAGTATCAGTTCTGTACATGTCTCAATGGTACTCAGCTTGTATTTGCATTGTACCTTCTAAAGCTAAAAGACTTCCTGATAGTTAAGAGCAGTCTGGTATATATTGTGGCAATTACCAACAACAACAAAACCAAGAACAGATTATTCAGTCTTACAGGGTAAGAGTAATATCAGTGCCAACATTTTCAGCCACAAATGCTCAGAGTCGAAATACTGAATACAAGAAACAAAGGCTACAGGACAGTTTGGCTATTGGGTGATAGTAGGCCATACCAAAATGCTTTTATTTTAGTAGATATGACTGACAGATTTGCTCAAGGTTTTCTGAGTTTTAAAGGTCAGGTACAATACCGATCTTAATGTAGGTTTACAGCAATTTTTACTAACTGTGTGTTAATATGCTTAGCATAATGCATATGCTAAAAGTGCATTGAAAGGGAAGCTCACAGAGAGAACTAATGGCAAATGACAAGGGTTCAGACAATTAACACATTGAAAACCATATGCCTCTTATTTGGTCTTGCCATGTTTTTGCTCATAGGTATTTCTTGGTTCAGTCTGAAAAGAACTGAATGTTGATAGGAAGCATGTGATAGATCTTTCTCTATTCCCACTGCTAATGATATTGTCTTGCATTTACAAATAAAATGTGCTTTTAAACCACATTAACCCATTTTTATGCAGTCGTAATTACTCTCAGGAGTCACAGGTCTCTAATTTCTTTAGCTTCATCTTTCTTTCAAGTGAGCATTTCTGTTTATGTTCTATTGTACCTACTCTAGGTTCTATCTCAATAGAGTGCTTGGAAGAAGTGTTCACTTGCATACATTACACACCTTAATGCTGAAGAGTTTCACCAAATATTTTTCTTCAGATTAATCACTTAGTTGATTGTCTCAAATACATTAAAATATATACCTTTCTTTGGTGAAAATACGCTGAAAGAATCTGTATAGCAATGCGTCAATATTGACGTGGCAGGAAGAAATATCTATGGTTTTTATCTCAGACAAGTGAAAGTGAGGCCTTGCTATAAAGGCCACTTTACAGTTTCAAAATTGAAAAAAAAAATCTTTTTTCCCCCTATTTGTCAATTAACTCCCTTCTATCACAACACAGAAAACTTGATTTTTCTTGTACAAGTTTGGAAGACAGCTTGTTTAACATTCTTTATTTTTCATAAACTTGCCTCTGCCACCCTGATCCTGGGTCAGAGTCAGGACTAGACAGGTTTTACAAATTCTAGTGGGTCTGCAGCTGTTCAGTCTGTTACATGTCCAGACTAATCCATGCAAATCCCTCTGCTGAATCTGCATTCTAAGCAGAGATATCATATCACCCTCCTGAGATACAGCATTTATTCCATATTATAAGGAAATTCTCTAGGATGCAATCAAAGCATGCTTGGAAAAGCACATTATGATATATACAACATATGAATTATCAAATGGCATAATTTTTATTTTATTTTAAAAAAATAATAATTCCTACACTGATTGGTTTTACAAGCAGCAATGGAAAACATTTTTTGTGCACTTCTGCTCTGACACTTTTAGTCTAGGATAACTTTTTAGAAGGGAATCTTGGAATTCAGATACTGTGTGGTGGAAGATACCAGGTAAAATGCTGACTGGTTTTACAACAGCACAACAGCATAATGAAGCAGAGAGAAACAAGAAAATGCTAGGCAAAGGTAGCACAACCATCTCCCATCCATCTCACCAAGTTACAGAGTGTGACATGGTACAACTGCTTGGAATAGCTGATCAAGGGTGCACACTGCATATTACTAACACAAGTTGAGTCAGGTGCCTATTTAAAATGAGATCAATTTGAAGTTTTGCATAAAAACATTACAGTCAGGTATC